TTGCCTGAAAACTATTTCTAACTGCCAGGGAATTTAATTTTCCAACTTCTGTGGCAACCGTGAAAAATGTTTACAAATACATCGAATCGAATGTAGAGCGGTCCTCTGAGAAATCAATTTTGCGTGAGCATTGGAGTGAACAAATCCCAATATCTGGAATGTTAAGCCAATAATTGCTGGTGCCTTTGGACGGACTAGAGTGTGAGAAGGCTACGGAGCCGTTTCGACCGCTTCTCACATGGGCGCGCCACGTGTTTTCCTCGCTCGACGCTCGTCCCCCTTTTCGATGAATGAACCCTCCATGACCCCACTCATCGGGAAGATTAGTAGAGCAGAGATGGAGGTGTGTGCAGTCTGCACTCTGCACACTGTCACACTAATTTTATCACTGCCAATTTTGACTGTAAAAGCACATCGCGCTTTTCTCAAGAATGTAGCATGGAAGGTGTTTACCGACTTGACGCCAGCTCATCGTGAAATACAGGATCTTTCACAAGTCCGGCTTCCTGTTGAATTTTGATCTGGAGCACCTGTATACGGGAGAGCATTGCCATCTCTGTGCCGTGTTCTGATTGGTTCATTAGTTTCAGGCTATCGTGGAGCTCCAAAGTTGGACCAATGTAAACAAACTTGACCCAGAAGAACACGTATCATCGGCTGAGAGTTGAATGATAGTCACACCCAAAGTTTAATTTTTGCTAATAATATTCATCAAAGTTCGATCCGAACTTAATTCAGAAGTTGATCATGAAAAAATGTCTATCATACCCAAAATCACGTCTCGAGCCTCGTAGAACTTTTCCGCAATCTCGTTTATTTACATTGGGCCAAACCAGGAGCAGAGGGGCTGCGGCTGGGGTTTATTTACATTGGTGCAAGTTTGGGGTTCCATGATAGCCGACCAATCGGGCGCCATCCAATTCCCTCCCCCGATTCCCTCCCGAAACCGATTCCCTCCCAAGACCGATTCCCTCATGCGGCCGGAACCGATTTCCGATTCCCTCCCGGCTTTGAAGTAAATTGAAAATATGTGGCAACGTCGCAACAATTGATCAAGTAGTAAGACGAAATAATCAAGATCCAAAATAAACTCACCATTCCCAGATACACCTGATACCGCATAGGTCGCGTAGAAGAGGAGTAGAAATTCAGATACCGCTCTCTGTACACCCGTTTAAGGTACTTCATAGAAATTCGCCAAATGTTTTCTTGTGATAATTTTATTCTTTTGGTCTTATTTTTTTTGACGCGACGGACTCTGTACACCCGTTTAAGGTACTTCAAACTTCTACAACTTCTACCACCTACTCTTCTACTCTTACGAGAAATGGCGCTGTATCAGGTGTATCTGGGAATGGTGAGTTTATTTTGGATCTTGATTATTTCGTCTTACTACTTGATCAATTGTTGCGACGTTGCCACATATTTTCAATTTACTTCAAAGCCGGGAGGGAATCGGAAATCGGTTCCGGCCGCATGAGGGAATCGGTCTTGGGAGGGAATCGGTTTCGGGAGGGAATCGGGGGAGGGAATTGGATGGCGCCCGACCAATCAGAGAGCGGCACACTTTTTCTGTAGTAAAAGGATTGAGATGGCAATACTCTCTCTCCCCTATACAGGTACTCTACCCTCCCTCCATCAAGAACATAGAGATAAAAATTGGAGAGGTAATCAAAATGTAAACGTAAGGAGACGCTGTGACGCTCCAGAAGAAGTTCGCCTACATTTTCAAGTATGTGACGAATCCTCGTGACATATCCGTGGAGAGAGCGTCGAACATACACTCATGCTGCGGACCGGAAGTCTGTACGCCATACGTGTATCTGTCACCGTCTCACAAAAGTGTGAGCAAGTTTGCGTTATCCGGCAGCTGTTATCGTGTGGGTGATAAGGGTCTCTCAGCGTTAATGGATTTTTTTCCTCTTTTTTTTCGAAAAACTAAAAACAGGGTTGCCGGCCGGCTGGAAAACCGGGAAAATCAGGGAAAGTCCCACTCGTTGGAAAAGTCAGGAAATTTCTGATACACACACACTAAACATATCACGGATATTCCAGTTATTCAAACCCTTCCTGGTCTTTATTGAGGCTTGTCATCTTTTAACCAGCTACTGAGTGCCTTCTCCTTTTGATTAATTGGATCTCGAAACAAGGAATTTTTTGAAATTTTGTTCGAAGGTCAGGGAATTAGAAAATTCTGGAGCGAGGGAAAAGCAAAAATAGTCAGGGAATGTTAAAATGAAGAAATTGTGGCAACCCGGGATTAATCATTTCAACCCTCCGAAGAAAGTCTTATCTCTTATCATTTCGGAATGGTAACGCGAATGATGTAAAAATTCTGAAAACTTTTCCTCACTTGTATACTATCATCATGTAATTCAGTGAAAAGACTTCAAATGAATGCGGCGAAAGTCTCCTTTTTTTCCATGGTCTTTTCAAGAATGCGTCACAAACGGAGAGATCTCGTTTTAAAAATTGAATTTGAGGTGAAGGTGGCTTAAGCTCCGCATAGCAGCCAGTTTCTTTCTTGTTAAGAGCACAGTTTTTGTGTGCGGCCCCCACCCTGCGAAAGGATGTCGCCTCAACGTTGCTTCAATACCCTTCAAATCTTAACCGTATTGATCATGTATGTTGTAGGAACGTTGAGATAACATTATTCTGGACATCGAAGAAAATATCGTCAGAGGTTATATTGTGTTAATATTGCTAGTATTAGCAAGTCTGTATTGGCATAAAGCAGTGCCGGTGCTTTTTTCCGGTCTGAATGCTAAATTTCACTGCGTTTTAATCACTTGGATTGTTTTCTTTAAGTCGATATCGCTTTCATTATCTCTCCGAAATATTGCCTGAAAATACGAGTAGCAACAATGTCAGGATGTATTGTACTAATATTCCCTGTAAATATCCCCGAGTTGCGTTGCCTCAACTTTGCCTCAATGTTGAGAGACCAACTTTGCCCGGCGCACAGTGGATCGAGTAAATCAGAGAGGTCGGACATGAATCCTTTAACTAAAACTCCAAATTTTGATATATAATTCGTCACATTTCAAATTTTAAGGGGTGTTTCTGAAAGAAAATTTCACGACATAACCTATGAAACCACTTTTAAGACTTCAAAGTTTTGTATAAACGGAGTTATAGGCTTTTAAAGTTTTCAAATTTTGTCCGACCCCTGCCATTGACTCGATCCACTGTACGGCGATAGCCCTTGCAATATCGACCCCCTTCTCCATTACGAAGTGTGTTTTTCGACCTGGAAGAGCCTCTCTGTAAGTACACTGGAAAAAAACACATTGGATCTGGAGTCTAGACTCTTAAATACATCGACAAGAAAAAGTACTCTTGATTCAATCGGATGTATAAAAACCATCCTTAAATCAAGAACCAAACCTCTTAATTTAAGCAGATTTCGTTCTGATTCAAGCAAAAATCCGTTTGAATCAAGAGTATTTTTTCTTGTCAACGTTTTCTAGAGTCCGGACTCTAGATCCAATGTGTGTTTTTTTTTTTTTCTTCTTCTTCTTTCCAGTGTAAGTTTCGTTTCTCCGGATGAAACTTTTCATGAGTTATCACGAACTTTTCGGAGTCCCTGTAGCCGGTGTTATTGTCCCCTCTCCTAGTGCTTGCAGTTTACTCGCCGTGAAATATTTAAGTTTTCCTCCTTTCCCTCTCAACTCTTCTTCTCTCCTCTCCTTGCGTATTCGCCATTCCATAATGCGCAGTTTCGCCATATCGAGTGTGAGTGACCGGATTGTCTGTCTCGCCGTTGTCGAGTTCAACTTGCCATCCGACCGCTCAGGGAGCAAATCGGACCGTTCACGCGGAAAAATGACAACGCCGACATGCCCTCGAATTATTAGCATTCTCCATCTATGCCATGCCGATGCCCGTCGTTATCCGCCTGTGAGCACCCCTCTCCTCCTAACTCAACGTCTTATTCTTTCTGTCACCTAGTCGACGTTGTCTCGAGGTGATGTAATTTCAATGCCTCGCATGACGGTGCAGATTTCTCCGGGTCTAGAGGCCATCGGAAAAGGGAAACTGCCACCGTTTCCGGCAGGAAAGTTGGAAAATCAGCGGTATCGATAAGGGCCGTTTTGGGCCCACTTTGAAACCAAACCAGACGATCTTTTGCTTTTGAAAGGTCTGGATTTTACGGAATGCTTTCTGATTTGGTCTATTTTAGGGTCTAACAGTGGTCTAAACAGAGATCCAGTAACAACAAGTTTTGAGAGGTTTCGGTCGAATGTCGAAAAGTTCGCTCTTTACGCCAAAATTGGCCTTCAGACTCATGTTTAGAATAGTATCAGAGCTGAAATGAGACCGGATATGACCAAATGATGCATAGACCCTCAGTGAGATAAAAATCGTAGAGTTCAGAAAATTCTCCTAAGGCGGGCCGTAAGTGAATGACCCTTATCGCTACCCCTCCGTTTTGGTGATAGGGAATGGCCAGAGGGTTCATGGGAAAAGTTCAATAATTTTACGACAGGATGTCTACAGGCCTGGGAAACCGAAAATTGTCAGGGAATCTCACTAGGTCAGGGAAATGTCAAGAAATTTTATAGAAAAATAAGCCGGAATTTTGAAAAATTATAAGGAACATCAGCGCTGTCCGAACAACCGAACTGAGTCCTAGTCTGGTTCAGGGTTTAATGCTCTGAGTTACACTCTCAATAATGACTAGAGGAACAATGATTTTCAATGAAAAATTGAAAAATTAGGTTTATTTTAATAGTAAGATTTATATCAAAAGTTAGGTCGTTGCAACATAGATGAATGTTGCAAATATATTGCCGCCGTATTGCTGCAAGAGTGTATCAAGGTGGGTTCGCTGAAGTAGGTACCAATCGGAGATACCAATAATAGGAAAATCAAATTGGTACTCCGTTTGAGAAAATCGGTAGTATTATTTTTTGGTTCCTTCACAATCTCATACTAATAAATATAACATTTCAAGTTTTGCACGACAATAATCAATCTCTTTTTATTTTCTGTTGCAGTGGTGGTTTAAGCAACTGGCTGTATCACGTGAAGCTCGTCTCAGAAAATGCGGAACCCAGCCAAGTGTTACTCAGGATATATGGTCAAACTCATGGTGAAAGAGCTTTCGAAAGTATCATCACAGAGTCTGTCATCTTCACTCTTTTATCAGAGCGGAAACTGGGACCGAAATTACACGGCATATTCCCCGGTGGCCGTTTGGAAGAGTATATCCCAGCCAGGCCTTTGAAAACCAAGGAACTCCAAGACAAGAAACTGAGTCTGTTGATAGCCGACAAGATGGCGTTGGTTCATCAGATGAACATCCCTATCAGCAAAGAACCTCGTTGGTTATGGGACACCATGAACAGGTTGGTAGCGGCCATAAAAACTCCTCTAAGCCCATTTTATTATAAGAGGGGAAAATATTTTGATAAGCATGATCGTAATCTTCTTGTCCTTTTAGTCTTCAGTCACAATCTAACCGTGCAGTTTTGGATTCCCTCTTTTAGAAACGATTTTCTTGGTCTTTTCTTATAATGTCTGACAGCCACAAGCTTTTAACTTTCACGGAAATATGGCCCTCCGTCTAATGGAGATGTTGCATGTGTGAGGAATTTGCGATTTGACCGTTTATTCTTACGTAAGAGCTCTCGAGAAACACGATGGTGCCACTGGTTTTCTTTGAAATCAACTCCCAAGCTCAAAAAAAGCTCTTAAGTTGAGGCCAAAATGGAGGGGATATCCCACGCTATCCTGAGAGTCCACCTCTACATCAAGACAAACTCTCCATGCAAAGACAGGGAGCAAATACATTAGCAGGGTTGCCGTGTTTTCAGTTTTAGAGTCCCCAAATAAAGTGGTAGCCCTGTCAATGTATTTGCTCCCTATCTTTGCACGGCGAGTTTGTCTGGATGTAGAGGTGAAGTCAGAGGATAGCGTGGGATATCCCCTCCATTTTGGCCTCAACTTGAGAGCTTTTTTGAGCTTGGGAGTTGATTTCAGAGAAAACCAGTGGCACCATCGTGTTTTTCGCGAACTTATACATTAGAATCAATAGTCAAATCGCAAATTCCTCACCCATGCAACATCTCCTTTTCGTTTTTCCTGTCAATATGAGAAACTGCTCAGAACAGGTACGTTTGAAATGGGCCCAAAAGGTCATTCTTATAAAAGAAAAAAGAAAGAAAATGAGATGGGGCGTTTTTCGACTGCAAAATTCCAGAACTCCTCGCCCACAGATTCATCGCCCACGGTATAATTCACCCAGACCCTCTCACTCCCAACTCTTGACCCAAAGCATTTAGAACCCCATGCTTGTTTGTATACATGATTTTTTTTTGCAAATAATGCGTTTTCACCTCCATGTATTTTACACTACCCGCTAACTCCAGTTTCCAGTTATTCAGGCGTGACCGTGAGAGCGGTGCTCAATTCTAACTTTTACAACTTTTCTCAATGTCAATGTCAAAATATTTTTAGATGGGGGGAATTCAGTAACTGAAAGTTGAGTTATTGGACGTTTCGCCGCGGTGGTCATTAAACACGAAGATTACAACGAAAGTCACTCGTCCCTGGACATCAGACTAAACTAAGATGTGTGATACAACTATTGCAACTCCTGAGCCGCTCAAATTGCATCCATCGAGTTGAAGGCGAACTTGATATCTCCAGTTATTCAGGCGTGGCCGTGAGAGTGGTGCTTAATTCTAACTTTCGCATCTTGCAACTTGATGACAACGCCTGTAGGTAAAAAAACACGTGGGTTTAAAGTGTTTTGGGTGAATATTCGTGGGTTAAAAATGCTTGGGTGAAAACGTGCACGTGAACAGTCCTTTAGGCGAAAAAACTGTGGGTAGTAGTTCTGGCAACGACTGCAAGATTCAATCGATGAAACTGTCAGATTTGATTACATTATCCATTGGACATTGTACGGATTCTTACATTCCATTGCTAGCATATTAAGTCAGCATGTGAACTTGATTGCCGCTCCTGAGAATCACCCCTATGAAAAAAGAAAAACTGATGTATTGTCCCTAAAGGGTACCATGTACGAAATGTTTCTTTTTTCATTTTTCACCTCTCGTATATTTATATCGTATTCTCACCCAGTCATTCTGCATTTAGTGGATTAATGCAGTAAAATGAAATATTATGAAAAATACTCCCATTTTTCTTTTGACGAAGTATTTATTAAAAAAAATTGGTACTCTTTACATGTGTGAAACTGAGATAAAATGAGTGCATCAGGTGTTTTATTTAAGCTGAAAACGCGAACCAAATGTGAAGTACCTGATAACATGTTTCTTTATTTATTCTTAGAGGGATTTTTATAATGTATGACAGTTTCAAACGTCTTTCCCTGCATTTTATTTCAAATTTTAAACAGACTCTGTTGAATTTTACTTTCAGGTGGATCCAATCCATTGATGATCTGAATCTCTACATTTATGTCGGAAATCAAATGAAAAGGAAATTGATGGCTCAAGACTTCAGGATAGAGGCTGAATGGTTGAAGTAAGTGCCATCCAAGATCTGCAAGAATCGATGTTCGAGAAAATTAGAAAGGGGTGTCTGTAGACAGAGGGAAACACTGAAAAATGTTTCCAAAAAAAGAAAAATATTTCCAGGAATTTTTTACACCACCCTTTAATGAGAAATATTTGATTGTGGACCCCTATTAGCACTTAACTAATATGAACATTGCAGGGTAAGGAGTGAATTCCAAGAATTTTTCTGCCATGCCTGGTGTGATTTTGTGAGAATCTGTTCACATGGATGTCACTTGTATCTCTTAACAGACGTATTGTTAATTCATCTCTTGGAAAATGAATGGGCACAGCAAAAAATGACAACAGCAAAAACAAACACTTTATCATAGGTAGTGGGAATCAAAAATCATCTAGTAGACATATTAAAACTAATTCAAAAACTACTAAAATCTAGAAAATTGAAAAAGGATTAACAAAATTACAACGTAGGATCAGAATAGATGTAAAGATAAGCAGAAGTAAGTATCCGAATACCAAGCCCATCCCCCAGCCCATAACGTGAAAAATCCTAGCCGAATATGATCTTGCAGCCTCTGCAGCTAGATTGTTGAAATATATGTTGGCACGACAAGAATCGAAAATTGATATATTACATGGCGCAGATAGGGCTATGTTTTGTCTTATTTTATTTTGCTAACATAGTCAGTTAAAGTTTCAAGAATAAGGCTACTGATGGTCATTCAGAAGTAAATCAGCCTCCAACCAGGGGGAAAAAAAAGAAATTTAGGCCTGAAATGGCCCTGTAGGAACTGTCTACCTTCTCTCAAAATGTTAGCAATTTTTACTAATGTACGCCTTTTTTGTGGTTTTTCAATTTTTCCAGCTATGGTGAAGGAAATTAAAAAAATTACAAAAATACTCTATCAGTCAACAAGTTGGAATAGGCATGTTTATACTTATTCCATTATCGATTTTCTATTCCTCATACCCAATTTTTTGCATTCCAGGTCTCATCTGCAAAAGTTGCAGTCACCAGTTGTCTTTTGCCACAATGACTTCCAGGAAGGAAACATTCTCATGCGTGAAGAAAACAACAACAATGAAAGTGAGCCCTCCTTAGTGATCATTGATTTCGAGTACTGTGCCTACAATTACCGAGGGTTCGATCTGGCAAATCATTTCATCGAATGGACTTATGATTATTCCTACCCTCAGCCTCCATATTTCAGTGTCCATCGTGATTACTACGCTTCCCATGAACAGCAGGTAAGATAGTCTTTTTCTTTTTTCATACTTACATCCTGTCACCTTTATCTCTTAATCAATTCTTTGTTTCCAGTGTTAAGTTCTTTGATTTTCAAATCATTCTTGCTCTCCTTCAAACATGAAGTTTGATGGCCCTCAATACCTTTTCCGACACAAGTTAAATGAGCTAATTAGATTTGAAACTTTTTATTGTTTCTCCGGCTAAGAGTAATGTCCTCATTTCACCGAGAGCTACAGGAACAACCATAAACAAGGGACAAGTTTGCAAGTTCATTTTTCAGAATTACTCATTCCCTTCAGCATGCTGATGAAAAATTTGTTGAAGTATTCACTTTCAATTATTCTGTCACAATTTTTTCTTAAAAATTGTTATGGTACATTGTGAGTCACATTTATTCTGTCCTCCATGTGATGTGTTCCTGAAACTCTCGGGTCTTTACTCCTGTCTTTTTCACTCCTCCTCTATTTTCTGTAACATTCTTAATAATAGGTTATTTTGGTAAGTAAGCCTATCCACTCTCCTTTTTCTCCCAAGTATCATAAACCTTTATATACTCAACGTACCAACAGAAAGATGTGGCATTCATTTTAAAACTCTGTCACGTTTAGCAAAGGATCCACTGTTACATTGCCTCTTAGTCTAAGAGTATTTTAACTCTATGAAGTCGCTTAGTTAAAATGTCTGAGAGATAAATCATTTATCAACAAAGGCTCATCATCGTATGTTTTTCATTTCATTAGATTTTTTACTTTTGCAGATACCATCTCAAAAGAATCTCTGTGGCTACCTCAGAATATATATTGAGTTGAAATGTTTTTTTAGTGAACCTTTAAACCTCTTTTCTAAGAACCAATATTTTCACAGCCATTCAATTTTGAACTTGAGCAAATTTTGTCAAATAGAATTTCTGAGCTACCTTGCACTAAATTATATCTTTGACTCTCTTTCTAGAACTACTTCAGATTTTTTCGACAGTCTATTTTTTCTGTTGGTATATGAGAATATTCATAGATGTCTTTCATCAGATGATCTGGAAGTTATTTTCAAATCAGTTCACAGTCTGTGATTCTTTAATTTGATCACAAGAATAAGCTGTACGCAACTACAATCTGCATATTCTATTTTATATTCTTCATTTGTGATTCTCAGGCAGTGTGGGCCTTTTTTTGATACTATTCAGGAAGAAATCAACTCAGTTTAATAATGAGGATCAGTTTCCGAATGTTAACAAGAAAGATATCAGATTGTGTTACTCACTGGAAGATAAACTTGTGTTATTTTTATTAATTTATAGTTGCGTGCAGTTTTGCTTGTTATGAATCATTAGCTGCCAAAAAATTTTAACAATATTTTTCTATCACCTGCCAAAAAAGAAATCTTGTAGAATACCGCCGCGAACAGTGTTAGGTTAGGTCATTAAAATTTGAGTAATCAGTCATTGCATTTTTTCTCTAACATTTGAAAGAAGGGCACTTATTTTTAAAGTTAGAAATTATAATTCATTCGTTTTAAGTTCTTTAACATCCTTCATGAAGTATTGTTTCGGTAATATCCCCATTGAATTTTGTCTCAATTTGTTCCAAATATTAATTGATATTCATTAACAAAACAGAACTGCAAAAAAAATAAAAGGAGTGCGCACTCTAAAAGAGTTGTATTTTTGAATGATTATGAATGAATTACATCTTAATTTTTTACAATATTTTTGACATTTGTAACATAAATTAAATTCATCCCAGAATAGAACCTTTATACAAGTATTTAGCGCATGTTTGTTTACGATTTAAGACTAAAAAAGTTTTAATTTAATTTTCTAGAAATCTACCTAAAGAAAACAAGCTCGCGAAAGACTTCCCATTCTGCAAGAATGACCGACTAAGTCTCTTCAAAAGTTTCAAGTTCTGCAAATCCTCTGCAAATTCCGAGTGCGCTTCTTTTAATAGAGAAAAAATGCATACTCCTGATGTTTACAAATCACTTCCCTTATTACAAAGTTTGCCATGAACTTTCTGGAGGAGAAAATCTCTTTTCTTTACAACGGTTATAATGAATTTCATTTTTAGTGTCAATTGCCTGTTGATCACATATAAGCAAATTGAGGAACGATGGAAAATCCTTGTAATTTTTCAAGAATCTCATCAGTAATCATGGAATCATTTATAGTATCTATGAAGACCTTTTCTGAGATTAAACTTTGCTTTAATCGCAAAAATTATTATATGACCTCAGAATCCTCTTTTAAACTTATATAGGTTCAAAAAGCGTACAGATATTATTGAGATAGAATTTGCTCCATGAATAAATAATTCACGGAATCAAATTGCATTCCTTGTAAAATTACCCTTTCATCTAATATTCTCAAGATAGTAAAGCATCAGCTCTCATAGAGTATTCTTTAAACATTTTATAAGTCTTTTCACTCAATTCTTTTGAATATCTAATGATTAGCTCATGTAAAACGTCTAGCTGTGACCCTCACAGTTGAACAGTTTGCGCTATCCATTCATCATTCATCAATTCCTTGAAAGAAAATATACTTTATTGTCTTTTAGACAAGTTCAATCATTGTTTACATGTGATCAATAGACCATTGTTGTTTTGGGGGAGAATTCACTTAAGTATAATATGAGTCAGTTCAGAGCATTGTTATTTGAGGCAACAATGTTATTATACTTTCAAATTTAGAGAATTGGAATTTTTAGTTTTTTTTTCTTCTCTGCGATTTGTGTGTTTGTTCTTTTTTATTGGGCTCGTCTCCTTTCGGCGAAAATGGCCAGCTGATGGCTTAGCAGTCGGTTTGACTTGACCTCTTACACCAAATGAAAGAATGATCGCGCGCAAGCTTGCACGATCAACAGTTAACTGGTTTAACTATCAGTGGTATTATCACGGTAATTTTGTCATACCTCTCTTTCTCTCACTTTTTCGCTCTTCCTCTTTCAGTAATTTCATTTTTCAAAATTTGTTTTCCCATTTTTTTAATTATCTTCATTGCAAATATTTTTCTAATTTTTTTTCTTTATAGAGCTGATTGATTCTTATTAAGATTATATTATCGTTTAGTCTTTCCATTTCCTCAAGTTAATTCCTCTAAATCTAATTTAATGAGCGATTTTATTTTATTACGTGAAGAATTGAATTATCAGAGAAAGCAGGATTGGCAACTGATTGTGCATTTAGGATCGAAATAGGTGCATGTTTCTTATAAAATAATGTGGAGTTCACAGCTTAATTGAAGGCACACGAATCATACTCTATCCTCCGAACTTTTCGGAAACATGAAGAAAAAGTGAAATCGAAATTAATGAGATTTATTTCTTTTTTTAATGCAAATGCAAACTCCTCCCTGCCTTAGGCACCCCAAATGCATATTAATGATAAAACTTTCTCTGTCCACACAAGGTGGAAAGAAGTAAAAGACAAGAAAGTTCAGGGTGCACACCAATTAGGAACCCACATAAATTCTTGCATTCAACGGTACTGACAAATATAAATTTAAAACTTTTGGCTGCCTGATTGGTTTAAATAGAACCCCCAAGATTTTTTGTGTTTGAGGACTTGCCCCCAGGGCAGTGAATCTAATCAACTCTATCGTTATAAATACCGAATTTTGAAATTCTTTTTTTTTTTTACTTTCATTTTATTTATATGCAAGCAAAAATAGGGAACATTCATCAAAAATAAAGGGGAAACACATGGAATTTGGATCATAGCAACCCTGCATAGAAGTCTGACTGCTTTTTTTCTAGGGTCTGTAAATTGCAATTTTGACAAACCCCCCAAAGAACTATCAATTTTAGCAGTCCTGGTTTTCAATGTAGTCTTGACGATCCAAATAATAATAAAATAATTAAAACTCAGAATTTGCCGCCTCTAATTTTTCGAAGTTAATGTGTCTTCCAAATTCATTGAACTTAATTAAACAAAGCTTAGCGTGATGATGGATCTGGCTCAGTATGCTGTTGTGGACACTTATCCAATTACTATCCATTGCCACAAATAGCGTTGAGCATAACAATGCTCTTTGCACTCAGGCATGAGCTACAGTCATGGAGCAAAGAATATGCAAATAAAGACACATACTTGAATTCAATTGCCTTTTTTTGGGTTTGCATAGCCTCCACTTTTGTCAGTCAATATTGAACTAGCTCATGTTTAGTAATCTTTGCATCTGTTGTCAATAATTTTCAAAACTATCTTATTTGACCCAACAATGAAAGAGACCCAATGGCCACAGAGAGGAGGGTGAGAAATATCCGTTTTCAATGCCATCATATGTATAACATGTGTGAAAACATTACATTAGAACTTTTTTCTACCTTAAAAAATCTATATAACCTTGCAATTTCTCTGAAATTTTGCATTTTTGACCGTACCCTTTGCTTTCTCCTTTCCTCCCCTTTTTCGTCCATTCTAAGTCTTAATTTCTGTTTTGTATCATGACCACCCCTTGTTATTACTTCTCAGCCAATGAGTCAGTTGTACTTTTCGCGGAAGCTCACTGAAATGGTCAGTATTCGTTAAGTTGCTCAACATTGTAACATTTGTCTTAATGGCCCATCACCACATCGCCAAAAAAAGGAGACCTTTTAAAAAGCACTTTGTAGGATGTCACCCAACATATTAGTACCCGCTTCTCTTTTATGGAATCGCTGCGGAGATCAAAATGTTAGAAACTGAACTATGTTGTCCCCTTTGTGTAAGAATAATACAAATGTTATACAACATGGTGAAACATTCTTTGATTTTTTTTTTTTGACAATTCATTGAATGTTCCTATACAGCTAATAAAATTTGATTAAAATGAATATGTATAACAGAGTTCCTGTACAAAATAAAATGTGAGGGAAAATGTGGCATTTGTGTAGAAGGATGTTTCGTTGATGCAGCAAATTATCTCAGCTCTCTTTTTTTCTGTGAAGATATCCCTATTATTATGCAATGTAGTCGTCATTTTGGAGAAATACTGTCATTCCTTGATAATCTGTGAGATTTGACCATCAAATGGCGATTCTGCGCAATGTTCAACTGATCCATTGATGCTCAGGCAGTGACTGATGTCAGATAAGAGTTCAAAAAGTATGAAGTAAAAATTTTCAGAAAGAAAGGTCAGGCCATAATTCCTCACTGATTCATAATCCGGTTCAGGAAAACTGATTATGTCTTAATCAGCAGCTGAACTTTTGCAAATTATTTCTCATCTTCCTCTATCCCTAATGCACCAGTCGACAGTGCAGCTTCCAGCACTCTAACGCCTGTAATGAAACATAGTTTCATGACCGAAGGTGTATGAGTTCAGCCTCCCTTTATCCCATCATCCAAGGGTTTGGAGAATTTCCTTAAAAATATTTCAAAAATTTACTCTCTGCAGTTTATTGTCTACGAATTTCCTATGGTGATGCGGAATCAAGTGTGTTAATTACAGCTCTGTAGTTACAAGTAATTAAAGGCAATAATATGATTAAATCATTGAATGCATATGCTACAAGATGATGGGTAATATCAAGGAGGTGTGTCATTTTACTAAAATGGAACCTATGCACTTTTTAGTACATCTTTTGCCACTGATCTCATATTCTTAGTTAATGTACTGAATTTCTTGTGTACATTACTGTTTTTAAATTGGCAGAAAATGCAAAGTGTCTTGAAATAGCAGCGATCTGAAGAGAGTTTTTGTTTTAATTTTTCTCTTTGACCTCTTCATGTTCGCTATAGGATATTTTAAGCCCCTTCTCTACTTCTAGGGATCGTAACGAAATTTAACAAGCCCTGAGGATGAATTTTATTGAAATCGGAACGCTGTGGCAGCATTTTGTCCGTTAATGCAGCTAGTTTGTTGTTGTACGTACATGCAAAGTATCTAATCTTCTAAATATTTTTATTTGTATACTACGGAAGCAATCTAGTCATTGAAAATCTTTTTTCTTTCTACTATCTTTTATTCCTTTTATCAATTTTTTTCTTTGAGTCTCATACAAATTAATGGAGGAATAACTTGGTGGTACCAAGCAGAATAAAACCTTTTTAGCAGCAGCAACATTTTAAGTGGTAATCGATGATGAACTAAATTTTTAAATTAATCATTAGTATTCATTAGTTCGAAACTTACAATTTGTAATGTTTTTATTTTGAAATGAAAGAAGAGAACATTTTAACTTGTTTTTTGCCTGATCTAAATGATCTGCTTTTGATTTCTCAATTGTTTTTTGTTGTGAACATTAATACAATTTTTTCCTTTCATTATCACGTATGAATTACCCATTTGAAATATTTTAAAATCAAGATGAAGGTTCACAGTTACTGCTGCTCAAATTTTTACCTTCAGATAATTTCCTAGTCAAAGTAATTTGCATAGATATTGAGATAATCATCAATTTTTCTATGCTGCATAGAGTACGCTTATTTTTTAGTTTTATTCTTTTTATGTTTTATCATCACCTCTATTGTAACATCAAAACATTATTTACATTTCGCTCAGATCAGTCAAGTGAATTGTCTTTGTTTGCATCACTGTTAAAATTATTTTCAACCATTCATTGGAGTGTTTCTTCTGTGTTTTTATAGCTTGCTTTTGCTGAACGATACTTGAATTCTTTGGGTAACTCGAAAACTGATCCAGAAGTCGTTGTTAATGAAATCAGGCATTTTTCACTTGCATCTCATCTCTTCTGGGGCGCCTGGTCCCTAGTTCAAGCCAAAACTTCAAAAATCAAGTTTGGATATCTGGTGAGTATGTCATAATTTCGTAATTTATTTTCATAATTTGTATCATTCCGTTATGAGGAGGAAGGGGACACCGCATGTGTTCATTTTCTCTCTACTTCTACAAGGAGTCCCCCAACACAAGGAATGGGACTTTTTTTTAAAAAGAAAAATGAAATCGTACTGTGAAAAAAGAAGTTAAGGGAACAGATAAAGATTTAATTTTCAAGCAACCTCTGAAATTCAAGGCCTACATCAAATATTTTTCAGTCGGTATATTTGTCTATACCAGAGTATCTCCAAGGAGACCAAAAGAAAAATTTACAGCGTCATCGTGAAGAGTATTGTAACTTACGGGAGTGAGGTCTGGCAACTGAAGAAAAGAACTGAAGACTTGCCTAGGGCAACTGAGATGGACTTTTGGTGGAGGTCTGCTGGGATATCGAGAAGAGAGCGTATCCGCACTAAAAAGGTGCGCGAGATAATGGGTGTGGAGAAGGACATTGTGCAGGATATCAGGTCCAAGCAGTTGGTCTGGTATGGACATGTCCGAAGGATGGCAGACGTTCGGTTGCCCAAGCAGGTTTTCGATTGGGTTCCTCCCAGAAGGCGACAGCGTGGACGTCCTGTGAAAGGTTGGCAACAAGGGGTGGAGGAGGAGATCAGAAGGTGCCAATTGCCTGATGATCTCTGGGAGTATAGGGGGCAATGGCAATTGGGCGTTGTCGCAGAGGGCCAGGCTGCGCTGTGAAAGCGACTGAATGTATGTATATTTGTCTGTGCGAACAGCTTAGATAGAGAAAAAAATTGAATGTTTCCGGGTACTGAAAGAATTGTAATGTCTCACTCTGGTGAGAAAGCTGTTAGTTTCGGATCAAGCTTATCACAGCCTTACTCAAACTTATGTTGTATCAACTTATTTTTTAATCTAATACCTCTCTGCTGACATAAATTGTAAAATTCTGTTGATATTTTCACAGATTTGAATTCAGCTCGCAAGATAGATGTCGATTATTTATACTTAAGAGCAGATTTATTATTGTGGAATAGTTGTAAATTTAACATGTAGAATCTTTTGGAAAGTCCTAAAAAATACGCAAGTTTTTGACTCAGCTACGTATACTTGATTATATTTTTTGTATTTTTTTTCATCAGCTTTGCAAGCTAAATCCAAATACATAAAAAAAAAAATACTGACAGCTTCTTGAAATGTTTAAAATAATCGCTCAGCTTTGTTGCTGCCAGTTGAGAAAAGGAATGTCAGGATTGATATTATTGGAAAACTGCTTAGATTAACCTGATCTAGGATGCTCCTTGTCACAATAACAACAATTTTGCAATTCTTGGTGGATACTTTTTACCCTACTTGTCATTCTTAATCAATGTTTAATATTTTTTTCCTTTTTTCTCCTGCAGGAATACGCATATGAAAGGCTGAACTGTTACTTCAACTTGAAATCTGAGCTTTTGCTTGAAGCCAATGCAAAGAAAAAGCTCCGGATAAACAATGACTGAGCACCAACCGTTCGTATTGAATGGTGATTGAGAATCACCATTCTAACTTATTCTTTCGACCTCGCTCTCACTTGCTATTTGAAAATAGCTTGTGTCTTTGTTGTCATTGTCTGGAAAGATTGTTTTTGCCTTAAATCGACCAAGTCAGGTACCCTATCTCTGAAGGTCCAAATTTATGGAAGATCTTATGTTCTCTTAGAAGGAACCGATTCAGTTCCTATTGGAATGAGTGAATCGCTAAACATTTGCAATTTTAGCCTTATTTTATTTTTATCATTGTGTCTTACCATCTCTTCATTTAAAATCATTCACTCGTCGTACTTTTATAATATTAAGTTTAATATTAGATCTCTATTTTGTTAAAGCATAAGCAGCAAAAAAAAAAGAAAAAAAAAATTGGAAAAAAATTAAAAATGCAAAATTGAAAAAAAAGAAGCTCTAATGAGTATTTATTTTATTTGATGAACTTTGTATTTTAAATTATTTGAAAATTAATTAAATTCTTTGCATGTGATTTTATGTGCTTATGATCGGAGGTCGTTTAATGCATGCTTTGATTATTGCTGTAAATGTGTTTTCTTTATGAATTTAAAAATATTGAAGGACTGCAATTTTGTCTACTTTGTAAGTTCACTCAGTATTATCAAAGCTTTAATGGTAAGTGTCCTTAGTGAGAACTTCTGTTTTGTTCATCTTTTCGAAGCAAAGAATCATTCATGATTTTCAAACCACAAGCTGATATTGAGAACTGACATTTTTAAACATTTTTATTTGAGTTTTCGGCTCTTCTATCCCAACTCTTAACTATCTTGACTGATTTTATTCAATTTTTAGCATCCAATTCCCTGTCATTTTTTGCAATACCCAACTCTGAACTGTCAAATTATACGAATCGGTTTCTCTTATTCTGTTTTTTTTTTAGCTAGTCCTCTTCTTCCTCTTTCATCAGGGAACATTACTCAGAAATTTCACCGTGTGAACAAGTAAAAACTTCTTGTAAACATCAAATTACTTTTGGTCATGTTTACTGTCTTGCATTTCAAAAGAAAAGGAGTTTGACTGACATCCCCGAATTTAAAATTTAATTGACGTGTCTGTGGACATAAGGGATGTTGACTTTCCATGAAAAGCGAAAATTTAATCTGCTCGCTCATCAAAACTTTTAAATAATTGATGGATATCCATTAACAGTGTACCACTTTGTCATCAAAGTGTTTATACAGTAAAACCTCGCTAAGTCGGTTTCCGGATAAGCCGGTAACCCGCTTTAGTCGGTAGAATCGCCCGGTCCCGTTTATCACCCATATAACACAATGCTAAATAAGTCTCGGTATCTCGGTTTGGTCAGATTCTGAACCCGCTTAACTCGGTGAAATTTTTCCATCTCGACCTGTTTTTCTTCGATCGTCACCCGAGATCAAGCGTAGGTAGTGTTTCCGTGCGCGGTGCGGGTCGGGTCAAGTTACGCCACGAAGGGTGAGCGAATCTCCGAGAGAGCGCAGCGCAGTGCGAGAGACGACATCAGCTCCCCCTCTCCTCCTCCCTCCCATCCCCACTCAGCCCGCTCGTATCGGCACGAGCCCCTCTCCTCCTCCCTCCGATCCCCACTCAGCCCGCTCGTATCGGCACGCGCCCCTCTCCCCCTACCATCTTGCATTGCCGTTCCCCGCTCCCCCGAGGAGTTTTTCGAGGATTTTAGCGAGTATTGTTTACGTTGCATTTTCAGTGCAACGACCCGCCACTCAGCGGGCGGCCGCGGCGCATCACCGCGCGGCACCCCAACAAACGACTAACCCGATGACTTCATGATGCCCTGACACTTACAACACGCAATTTCAAGTGCATCTCATGAAATTTTACTATTTAGTACCATTTTCTTCGATCAAATGGCTCTCCTAAACACTCCTACAAGTCACTCTACACGCACGTTTGCGTTTGTCCAATTTAGGGCGCGAAATTTGAAAAAGCGCGGCAGGAAAAGTGGCAGTCCGCGTAAGTCGGTAACCCGCTTAACTCGGTAAATTTCCTCGGTCCCGATGAAAACCGACTTAGCGAGGTTTTACTGTACTTCTCTAAATCCCAACTACTAAGTTTTCATTTTGAATTTGCTCCCTTTTAGCATTAATTGCTTCATCCTTTCTCAGTCAGTTTGTAATAGGCTTTTCTTCTGTCCAGAATTGCCTCTATTTTTCAGTGTCATTTTTTTTTTTTTCTTTTGTTCAGTTCAAATTTTGCTCATGGCTTGTGCCTAGTCATGATTTGAGTCTTTTTTTCCATGTAATGTAATTGTAAAATAAGGGAAGGGTATTCAGGTTAAAAATTGAAACTTTGCCCTTCTATCGAAAGTGATCTTTAATTTCTAAACTTTCCTTTAAGCTCTTTGTATTTTCTATTTATTCTTTCTTTACTGAGTAATAGTTTTGTACCCTCTAGGATTTTTAAGGTTTAATGTAAGGTGCTTTTTGACTATTTTTAAGTTTTTACCGTTGTGGCATCATACAACTGTAGTTTCAGTTGTATACAGAGCAAAGTTTTCCATCACTTTACAACATAAGTGATGCATTTGAAGACTCTTTATTCTGTTTCTTTAATAACCTGTATTTAGCTTATGCAGTTTTGGGGAAAATTTTTCGTTTGCCTACTGTCTTGCAATGAAATTTTCTCGCCCTATAAGGTAATATGCTCTTCAAAGTTACCTTGCTTTGGCAGAAAGACTAGGCTATTTCATTCAGCCCATCAGATGAAACCTTTTCTTCCAAATCATTCATTGTTGTTAAACTATGAAATTTTTATAGACATACACTAGCCTTTCATTAGCATCAGATAATCTTTAAAAAAAACTTGCTTAGCCAATGCCAGTGAGACTATCTTTCAGGTACTCAATTTTGAGTAAGATAATCCTCTTAATACACAGTGCCGTATCGTTCAAGAAGCTGTAATCAATAGTTGGTGTCATAAGTGGAAGAGACTCTAACACATTAATTTAATTATCCCCGTTAGTATTTCAGCATGAGATTTTGAACAGTAATAAGTCAGTTTAGTCAAGTATCAAATTTAATAGGTTAACTGAGCTTCAAGTTTATCTCCAATTTGTTGTTTTGTTGTGTCTAGGTTGTTGATTGCAACTGTTGACTTCAATTTTTTGTGGCTTTTTAGTTCTAGAAAAGATATGTATATCTCTGTGACTGAACAAATTTTACTGGAATTTTTCTTGCGTGTCTTAATACCTATTTTCATCATCATTCTTCAGATGTGAATGCAGCTTTTAATTACAAAACATAAAAAAATTCTTTAAATTTTTTAAGAAAACTCACTTGCTCGTTGTTTATTCCCTTTATACTGGTCAGACACGTTTTGGTCTCATTGCGAGACCATCATCAGCGACTCCATCTTCATGAGTCGGTGATGATGGTCATGCAATCAGACGGAAACGCGTCCAACCGGTATAAAGGGAATAAACCATGTGCAAGTGAGTTTTCTTAAAAAATTTAAATTATTAAGTTCTTGTGCGAACCCAAATATCAACGTTATATAAAAATAATAATACATTCAAGAAATTTAAATGATTCTGTCACCAATCTTTGAAGTGGATTTGAAATTTTCTCAGGTCCTCTCATCCTTGTATTTTAGTCATCTCTCTAAGATCTGACTCTTTTCTGTCGCAATCTCAAGTCAGGCTTCTATTCTTATTTCATTATCATTTTTCATTTACTTTTTCCTTCTTCTAACAAAATCAGTATTCGCTAAGTTTTTGAAAAAGCGTACCTCTAACCATTTCATTTTCAAATTTTGTTACACCAACTTGCTTTTTCTGCATAGACAGGCCAAGAAGCCTCACAGTCCAATGCAGATATTAGTGAACCAGAGCTAGACATGGAATATTTTATCTGTGATAATCATAGGTACCCAGGTACCTCCGATCTAGCCAAGGTAGTTTTTGCATTTTTGTTTCGTTTCAAAAACAACGATGCTGTTCCACAAATAGCGCTGTAGGTACCATTTTTTGTGATTTTCAAAGTTCATGAACTCCAATCAACTTTATGAAAAAACGCCAACAGAAGTTATCAGTGAAAATGAGAAAGTCTACTATCACCACTGAATCTTCACTTTCTGTTGATGTTTTTTATTTGACTATCACTTCATCACCTCTTTGCTTTATCATTATTTTTAATTGAAATATTTTACTTCCTCCATAAAAGAAACAAACCTCTCATCTCCTTCATTTTTTCTTCATTATGCTCTGGTGTTATTTATTTTTTCAGTTTCTTGTGACCTTTGCATTGATATGGCTCTCAATTTAAGTTTTCATCACATTTTTCAAATTCAACCATGAGCCAAGTTCAAGCAGGCCTTGATTTTAAATTGACTTCTGTTTCTTTTTTGAAGTATCCGTCGAACAATAGAAAATAAGTCATACATTTTATGATAGTTTTATGGTGTTTGTCCACAAGCATTAGAGAAAAATTCAATGTATTGTTTCAAAATAAGTACCTATGCAGTACTTCCTCAGTAAAAGAAGAAGGTAAAGAGGGTTTCATGTCTTGTAGGCCAAACTGCATTCTAGGTTTATCCATGTTTGTGATATTTTAAATCATTAGAAATGTCTTATAATGTTCTGTGATTTAAATTTTAAAAGTCTCCCTGCTTTTTGTGAGTTATCTTTGACTTTTTTTTCTTGAAGTTGTAGTCTTTTAGTTTATCTTTTTTTTTTGAGTTGTACTAATTTTTTTTTTTTTTTTTGTGGCATTGTCAAAATTGTATTTAGATATGGATGCATGTATGATACCTCTAAATTAAGTCCCCTAGGTCTTTTCACTGCAACGTTTCCATTATTTTATTCCCATGACTTTCAGAATAATATATGAAAGGCTAAAAAAAATCTTGCCTGTACAAAATCATTGCAGGTACGCTCAGTCTTCAGTGTTAGTTGCACTAATAACTAAATTCAAGGATGACTTGAATAATTTAGCATTTCAGTAATAAGGATATTTTGTTTTGAATTTATCCTTAAAGAACAATGAAGTACCTAATACGTCCATTGTCACTGAAGTTCTTGGTAACTACCGCTGAAAAGTCTGCTTTTGTGCCACAATCAGATTTTCAATGTTGCCTCTTATTGGAAAGCCTTTTATTCTGCTTATCTTGATGAATAATCTTGGTTCTTCTTTGATAACATTGATGCTATTTTTCTGATTGTTGATTTTGTCAGAGTAGAATCTTTTTGCCTTACCTTCGTAATCTAGCTTTATCGTGCTATGAACAATTCACTTTTGCGGTTTCCTGTGGTAGTTTTTATAACGGTATTAACCTCATTAGGAATTTTCCAATAAAAGGCAAGGCAATGAATATGATAGTACACTCTTTATTTTAACAACCTAAGCACAAACTTTGATTGTCAAATAGAGAGTGATGAAGAGACAAAGTTATAATATGGTGTCATCATTTCATGAGCTGCAAAAGGGCATATAAGTTCAATTTGTAACATATTTCATTCTATTACAGATGAACCACTGCTCTAATTTTTCTGTAAATGTCTGCTATTTTCATTTGCTTCCAGTGTACACTCAGAAGTTTCCAAAACCGGCATTCCAACAATGATTCATTGTAAAAACTTTATGTTCATGAAATTTTTGTGTTAGCAAAGTACTGATATGCCTTTTTGTGTAGCTGTTGACGATTTGCTAGTTTACATTTTGCAGCTGGTCAATGGAAGCATGTGATTTCAGCATTGTCTACCTGGCGATATGTTAAAATGATAAAATCAAAATGTTTATTAAACATTCGCTTCCTCAGTATTTCTACAATTAAATTATTTTAAAGTAATCAAGTCTTTGTTTACAATTCATCTTGCTGATGTTTCTCGATCACTGTTTGCTCACAATGTAAGATTCTATTAAATTAGTTGAATCAATCTTGAATTGAAGACAGTGAAACCAAGGGATGTAAATGTCTCTCTCAATCTCCATATTTCGTCCCAAGTCAGAATTCTCAACTCAATATCTTGAATTGTGTATCCATTTGGAAACCATAAAATTTTAAGTGCAAAAATA